TCCTAGTTTTACAGAGTGGAGGCTTGGCCATGGTTCTTCTTCACTTTGGGTTTTATGATGAATGGCATAGTTATAGCAGGGATAGGATTTTTGAGTCAGAGTTAGCACATGCACGTTTCGTTCTGTTTTAGAATCCAGAGAAGCTAAATGAGCCTACCAAGGGTACACATCAGTACTTCTAAGACTGGATGGAACTAGAGTTCAACTATTTCTACTCGTAAACCAGCACCCTTCTCACTAACACATAATACCTTCAAAAGCAACACACTGGAAGGGAGAAGTTATGTGTTTTTCATGAATAATGTCCATCAAACTTCACAACCCTTGATAGCCAGGACAAACTTTTAGAGGTAGTTGGCAAAGAAGGTTATGGAGGTCGCTGTAGACAAGCAAATCCTTTTCCTTTATTAAACGTCCTTTCTATCACCCCCCCCACGATAAAGCACAGTGGCCTAAGGGACAACACACTCAGATGCGCAGAGAGTGTGTTTCTCTCATTCTGTCTTTCCCAACATGTCATCTCAGCCTAGGGACACTGAAGCTGCCACACTGCTCCAAGACTCAAGACTGTCCATGGAATTTCTCCCCCAAATATTCACACCCTATGTTTCTCATCACAGAAAAAGTTGCAGCATTCCTGGGTGCTGATCTTTTCTGCTTCTGGGTCCCTACCTGGGTTGCAGTGAGGGTGTGAAAGTTTCAGTGTAGCCAAAGAAAGGACCTCCGAGGGCCTCCCCAGCTGGGAAGCTGAGCTATGACTAGGTGTCTATTCCCTGCCTAAAATATATAAAAATCCAAGGGAGGAAGAAGGGGCTCATGGGACCCCACAAGTTTGCTGGTGGCAAGGGAGAGCTTTCTCTGGGGCAGAGCCTATGGGGTGTGGATGTGCCACCAGTCACCAGGCTCTTGTCTGGTCCGGTGCTTGGCAGTTGCTGCTCCTATGCAGCTTTGGCCATGTTGTAGTTCCCAAGTCAAAGAACATTCACCCATTCTGGTGAGTTTTCATGAGGAGGTTGGGATCTCCAGGCTTTCATCCTAGGCTTGGATATTTGGCCTTTTAACTCTGCCTCCTCAGAACACCTTCTCTGCTGTGACGCCTGTGTCTCCTTGCTAATCTCCTCTGTAGGGTTCTCTTGTTAATTCTAGGGTGTGGCAGGAGCAAGACTATGGAGTTTCAGGGCCCAGGAAGCCAGCTGAGAATGGGAGGGAGAGAGGATGTGGGAGCAATCTTAGCGGCTGCTTCCACTCCCGTCACTACGGCTGCTCAACCCCCATCGTGTTTCCTAATATCCTTGCTTCAGATGCAGCTAATTTCAACAGGAGATCTTCAAACAAGGGTTCTCCATCTAGAAGACCATTCCAGACCACTCCAGAGACAAGGAACTAAATATAATGTAACCAAGAACAACTTGTTTTGGTAGTCACCAAGAACAAGGAGCGCTTAGTACAATTAACAGCACTCAGACACCTACAAAGGTCAGAGGGGAATAGTAACTCCAGCCAAGACAGTGACAGCCTGCAGACAGTCATGGCCAATAACTAATAAAGTCAGAGTCAGAAATTCACAGGGTAGGGTTCCAACCAGCCTGAACTAGGTGGATAGTTTAGAAACATAGTCATGATCGTCCCCCTGGCTAATGGAAGATGCATAGAGTGTGGACTCTCTGCTGGCTTGGCCCATGAGAATTAATGAATGTCAAGGTTTCTGCTATGACCCTATAAGAGCCCTTAGGCAGAGAAGCTCAGTGGTTGTTTCCACCTCCCTTTCTCAGGAGTTCCTCTCACTCCCTTAATGTCTCACCTTTATCCAATTCTCACTTAACCGTGATTGTCCTTAATAAAGTCTGCTTCCGCCCAGCACACCCCACCCATGAGAATATCCATCTTCAGTGACCTTGAAGTCACTGACTTGGGTCAGCCTTTGATAACCTCAGGTATTCAGTATCCTTGTTCCTTAGGTTATACACAACTGTATCATGAAAGGATCCATCTTACTAAAAAAAAACTGGGTATCACTGGCACTCTGATTTTGGACTTCTAGCCTCTAGAGATAATTGTCTATCTATGGTGACTTGAATGAGAATTGACCCCCCCACACACATAGGTGCATATATTTACACGATCAGTCCTGTGCTGAACTCTTTGGAAGTATGGCCTTGGAATGGGTGTGTTCTTGGAGGAGGTGTGTCACTGGAGGGTGGGCTTTGAGCTTTCAAAAGCCCATTCAGGCCCAGAGTCAGTCAATCAGTTAGTCAGTCTGTTAGTCTGTGTGCTTCTCTCTCTCTCTCTCTCTCTCTCTCTCTCTCTCTCTCTCTCTCTCTCTCTCTCTCTCTCTCCTCTCTTTGTCTGTCTCTCTGTCTCTGTCTCTCTGTCTCTGTGTCTCTCTGTGTCTGTGTCGTGTCTGTCTCTGTGTCTGTGTCTGTGTCTGTCTCTGTCTCTGTCTCTCTCTCCTGCCTGTGGATCAGGATGCAAACCCCTTAACTACTGTTTTTCCAGTGAC